TTAGAGTAAAACAATGGAAAAAAGTACTCTAACCAAATGGGATCAGGAAGCAAGCTCAGGCACTGATATCCTAATATCTGTTAAAATAAACTTCAAACTAAAACTAATCAGAAGAGATAATGAGGAACACTTCGTTCTAATCATGGGAAGAGTTAACCAAGAAGACATTACTATCCTAAACATATATGCACCAAACACTGGTCTACCCAATTTCATACAAACAGTTATGACCAGATTTAAAGTTGCAGATTAATATCAATCCATTAATAGTAGATGATTTCAATACCCCACTTTCTCCAACAGACAGGTCATTGGCATAGAAATAAACAGAAACAAATTAGTTGACATCACATACCGAATTGACTTAACAGGTAGCTACAGAATATTCTAAACAAGCACCAAAGAATACTTCTACCTAGCAGCACACAGAGACATCTCAAATGGACTTATCAGATAGCTACAGGATATTATGTACAAACATAAAGGAATACTCCTTCTATGTAGGAGCCCATGGAGGCATCTCTAAAACAGACCACATCCTGGGACATTCAGCAAAACTTTACAAATTAAAAAGATTGAAATAACCATCTATTTTATCTGAATATAATGCAATCAAACTTAAAATTTATGACAAAGAAATCCCTAGGAAATACACAAACTTATAGAGATTAAACAGCTCATTAGTGAACGATGAATGGGTGAAAGAAGAAATCAAGAGAGAAAAAATCCTTAAACTAAATTAAAATGAAAACAGTGCACAATAAACCTCTGGGACACATTGAAAGAAGAACAGAACACCATTAGCACAGGCACTAAGATCAAAAACTAATAAATGGAAACTAATGAAACTGAGAAGTTTCTGCATGGCAAAGGTAAATATAATTTGGACAAAACAGAAGCCTACAGAATGAGAAAAGACTTTTTTACAAACTCTACTTCCAATAGAGGATTAATATCCAAAATAAATAAAGCACTCAAGAAACTGGATATAAAAACACAAATAATTCAATTTAAAAATAGGGAACAGATAACCCAAGTAAAAGAAATGGGGTATAGATTTAAACAGAGAATTTTAATAGAGGAATCTCAAATGGGTAAGAAGCACTTAAAGAAATTTTCAACATCCTTATCCATCAGGGACATTCAAATAAAAAAGACTCAAATTTCATCTGTCAGAGTGGCTAAGATAAACACAATGTGTGACAGCTCATGCTGTTAAGGATATGGAGTAAGGGGAACACTCCTCCATTCCTGGTGGGAGTGAAAACTTGTAAAGCCACTATGGAAATCTATACAGTGGTTCCTCAGAAAGTTGAAAATTTATTTACCTCAAGATACAGCTATACCACTCCTGGGTATCTACCCAAAAGACACTCCATCCTACCAAAAGACACTCAACCATTTGCATTCTGACTTAATTCACAATAGCCAGAAACTGGAAATGACTTAATGTCCCTCAATAGAAGAATGAATAACAAATGTGGTACATTGACATTGTGAAGTATTACTCAGCTTTTTAAAAAAGCGACATCATGAAATTTGCAGGTAAATGGATGTAAGTAGACAAATCACCCTGAATGAGGTAACCAAGACCCAGAAAGATAAATATGGTATGTACTCACTTACAAGTGGATATTGTTAAGTAAATTATAACCAAGCTACAATCCATAGACCCAGAGAGGTTAGCTAACAATGATCTCCCTGGGAGGGAGCAATAGATTTTATGGGAAAACTGGGAGAAGATAGGGACAGGAGCGACAGATAGTGTGGATGGCATGGAGAGGGAGAGTGTGGGAAGAGCCAGCTGGAAACCTAGTGTAGTGGAAACACAGTGTAGCAGAAACTTCCTGGAATCTATGAAGATGGTCCTAAGAAGGACTCCTAGTAATGGGGAATACATAATCTCAACTGACCATCTCCTGTAGCCAGGTGGGGCGTCCAGTGGCAGGATTAGGCTGCAGTCAATTGAGTTGTTGGCTAAAGGGGTTCCATGGAAATCCCCAAACAACCCAGGCTGTTGTTAAGATAAGGGGTTGCTCTCTGCAAACTAACAGCAGGGCCCCATTGCTGATGACAGCACACACATAGCTCATTGAACATGGGGATGTTGAGCTGGCACATAATACATGAAGCCCTCACCTCTAAGTTCTAGTCTCCTTGGTGTGGGAAGGTACTTTGCCGGCTGCCAAAATAGAAATATGGACACAAACTCAGACACAGAACCTTTGACCTATAATATATCCTGCCTAGTAAATATGCTAGGGCAATGGTAGCACAGAACTTGTGGTAGTAGCCACCCAATGTCTGATTTGATCTAAGGTGTGCTCCATGAGAAGGAACCCACACACAACACTGCTTGTGTAACCAAGAACAATAGACTAGATAGTCCAAAGATCTAGGGTAAAACCAAACACTAATGGCCAAAAAAATTAATGAAATGATCCCTAATGATATTCTGCTATGCTCATAGATAGTGGCTTATCCAGTCTTCATAAGAGAGGCTTCCCCTGGCAGCAGATGGGAACAGATGCAGAGACCCACAGTCAGACATTATGCAGAGAATCTATGTTGGATGTTCCCTTCATATCCCTCTCTCCAGAGCTCAGGGAAATCCCATGGAAGAGGTTAAGGATTGTAATGAGCCACAGGGGATGGAGGACACCAGTAGAACAAGGTTCTCTGAATCAACTGAGCAAGGTGCATATGAGCTCAGAGACTGAAACAGCAAGCCTAGGGCCTATATGACTCTACACCAGGTCCTCTGTGTATATATTATTGCTATTAGTATTTTTATGGGACTCCTGAGTGTGTGAAGAGTGGGTCTCTGATTCTTGTATCTGTAATTGGGAGTCTTCCTTGCTGTATCCAGCTTCAATGTGATATTTTTGTTTTATCTTGTTATGTTTTATTTGCTATGTCTGGTTATTATCTCTTAGAAGCCCATTCTTTCGTAATAAGAAACTGAAAGGAGGTGTATCTGGAGGGAAGGGAATGTTAGGAGGAACTGTGTAGAGGGAGGGGAAATTATAATCAGGATTTATTCTATGAGAAAAATCTATTTTCAATAAAAGAACAAAAAAGCAATAAATAAATAAATAAATGTACCACTTAGAAGACAGGTTATTTATAGGGTTTCCGTTGCCCTAATTTTTATAGTTTCAAGTCAACCAGTTGTCTAAATATATTAAGGTAAATTGTTTCTTTTTTCACTTTTTGCAACATTACTTAGGCGCTTTCAATCTTCCGTTCTTTTTCCAATTTTCATCATAAAATGTGTAATTGCAGGATACTTTTGTAATAATGTTATATTTACTTGTCACAGATTTTATTGCACCAAGGGATCACTGTATGCTGTGGCTAATTTTGTTGTATATATTAAAGTTCACATTTTGTGACATACAGTTCTATGTGTTTTGACAAGTATTCTCTTCTTAGATTTGTTAAGACTTGTTTTGTGGCCCTACTTAGGATTTATGCTGGAGAATGCTGCATGTATATTCGAGAAGAATGTGTATTCTGCAGCTGTTGGTTGGAATGTTCTGTAGATGTCTGTTAAATTCATTTAGCTTAAAATGAAATTTAAGTCCATCTTTTCTTTACTGATTTTCCATTCATATAATCCCTACATCGTTGGAAGATGGGTATTGAAGTTCCTTACCATTCTTTTACTGAACTCTATCCCTCCATTCATTACTTAACATTGTTTCATATATCTAGGTGCTTCAATGTTGAATTAATATATATTTGTAATTTTTATGGGGTCCTTGTGAATTGTCTCTTAATATAATTGTCTTTTGTTGTTTTGATACAAGATGTCACTATGTAACCCAGGCTAGGCTCTGAACTCACAGGGGTCTGCCTGTTTCTGACTCTGAGTACTATGGGATTAAAGGAATGGGCCACCATACCCAGTCTACAATGTCATTCTTTTTATAATGTGTCATTGTAGTTTTTGACTTAATGCCTTTTTTATCTGACATAATGATCTCTACTCACTTTGACATAATTGAATGAAAAAGTGAGTGCCACAGAATATTTCTTGCACTGGGGAGTAGTGCACTAAATCATGTTCAGTGTATCAGTAAAAGAAGAACATGAGAAAAAAAGACATTCATGTATATTTGTATGTGTCTATATAATACAAACGTATGTGTGTATGTATTATCTATATATATCCATTATATGCATATAATTTACATATAGTCTCATTGTAGAAGGCTGTATTTGAACTCAAGATTCTTCCACATCTTCCTCCCAAGTAGTTCTGGAATTACATCACTGCTTTGGTAAATGCCCACTCCAATATTTTCTTTTTAAAAAGGCATCAATGCAAGTATTTTGCGATAAATTGAAATGACCAGGGATTTTTATTTGTAATAAAGTGTGTGTGTCTGTGTGTGTGTGTGTGTGTGTGTGTGTGTGTGTGCGCGCGCGCGCGTGCACGCGTGTACGTATGTGTTTTGTGCAGGGAGAGCTGTGAGGACAACTTGTGGGAGTAAGGTTTTCTCCCTCCGCCATGTGGGTTCAGAGAATAGAATTCAAGCCCTCAGGCTTAGTAGTAAGTGCTTTTACCAGCTGAACCACCTGATCGGCCCTAATTGATTTTTCTTACATCTACTTTAAAAAATATGTATGAAATACACATTTAATTTATATATTTATTACATTATATATGAAGATGAATTATTCGGGAGCACCTTTATAATGTTTAGAGATTTTAAATATCTTAATCTGGTCATATTTGAACGTCAGCAATGAATGTGACATAATCCTCTGTTCTGACAGTGTATCACGCCATGTAATTAGTGTTGTCGACACAGGCGTGGGAGCACTGAAGTCATTCTCTTCAGTAGAAACAGAAAAATCAAATGGAAACAGGGACATAGAATGGGGTACAGAGAAATGAAATGGAGAATAGGTGTGATGCCGAACAAGAGGTAGTAAACAGAAAAGAGGAGCTACACTGTGGATATCGGGAAGTCGTCAAGCAGGGAGGGGGTGGGGCGGGCCGGTAGGGACAGAGACCCCCCTCTGGAGGCGGAAAGAGGCAGGACCACTTCCGGCCAGGCGGGGGGGTAACAAGCTCAGACCTGAGGAGAGGCTTGGAGAGAGCAGACGTCCTCTGGACTCAGGAGGGTGAGGTGAGCTGAGGTGGCTAGCTTTGGTAAAGACCCTGTGGGGGCTTCAAGGCTGCAGCTTCAGGATTACTGGCTTCATACAACATTAAGGTTTGAAGAAAACCTGCCAGGATTTGGGATCTAGAGGTTTCGATGTTGTGGGTTTAGTGGTGCCTGAACCCAATTCTCATGGGGGGAAAAGCGGGGGCGGGATTTCTGGCTATGGGAAGGTCTGGACTCAGTTTGGGGATGGGAAGAAGGGATGCAGACCTGTTTGTGGTTGTGGAAAGGAAACGTTGAGAAATCATTCTGGCTGTCGCAAAAAAGGAGGTGGACCGAGTTCAGGAGGAGGTAAGAGACGGAATTAAGGACTCGGATTAAGCTGAAGAAAGGGGGTTGGACCCCCTCTGGGCTACGGAGAGGATGGATCTGATCAGAACCAAGAAACGAGCCACAGAATCCTTTTTTAAACGGCCAAAGGACCAGGCTTGGAAGGGAGAAAGGGCGGGCTAGGATCCGGTTAGCACTGGTTTGAAAGGGGGGGGATGACCTAGTGGGGTTAGGGAGCTGGGAATCCAGAAGGGTATCCCTGCTGGATTTGGGGGTGGGGTATCCATGTTGCAGAAAGGGCGGGGCTGGGCTCTTGCAGACGTGGATCTGGGGGGGGCAGTGTTGGCGGAGGCGACTGCGGCGCAGGGGGGAGGGGGCTTGGGGAAGGGTGGGAGGTGCGGGAGGACTGCGGAACCACAGCGAGGGTGAGTGGCTGACAGGCAGCGCGGCCGCAAAAGAATGGGGGGGGGGACTGCTGGGGGAGGGGGAAGAGGGGGCGGCGCAAAGCGGCCCTGCAGGGCCTGAGCCATTCTGAGGGAAAGGGTGGACTGAGAGATGGTGTAGTTAGGAGGAGGCAGCGGGTGGGACTGAGATCTTGTAGCTCAAAGGGGAGGGAGACATAAGTGGAAATGAGATGGTTAGAGATGATCCTGTACCCAAAGCGCATGCGCATTGAGGGCCCTGAGGACCAGGCTCATTTTAGGAAACCTGTGATCCTGCCTGAGTCGTGTGTGTGTGTGTGTGTGTGTGTGTGTGTGTGTGTGTGTGTGTGTGTGTGTGTGTGTGTGTGTCGTTCTGTGCGCATGCGCACTGTCAGGTTGCAGTGTGGTAGAGGGTGTTTAGGTGTAGATCGTAGAACTGATTTGCCATCTTGGAAGTGAAAGATGCTGAGGCTCAGAAACCAGATGCCCTGAGCTTCTAGGTAGGCAACCCCCAAAAAGGTTTGTGGTCCAAAATAAAGTAAATTCTTTCACCCTTCAGATTTAGCATGACTTCTGATGAATCTCCCTGCTCCCTCTTTTCCTCTAACTCAGTCCTATTTCTTTCAGGCTCAGCTGTTAGCCTCTCAAAAAGATGGACAGAAGAAATGACTATGGTTATCGAATGCCCACATTCCAGGTGAGACCTCTCTGCATTCTTACTAGGTCATTTGCCTTGCCCCAAATTCACTTAACCACTCTGGAGTCCACTATCACTGTGTAGTTCCATAATTCCCTACCTAACCTAACTTTGTATGGGGCTGGGAAGAGGGAACCTTGCCTGACTCTCCTGCTCCCTCATTGTTTCCCCACCCCCTTTCAATCAAATTGCTAAGGAGGGGAGGTCACTGTAGAGAGGGGTGGTTGTAGGGAGGCCCATAGGATCATAATCCTAAGTATGTAGGGCCCTGTGCCTCCCCCTGGGAGCCTAGGGCTTCCTTTCTCTTCAGATGTACAGACTGAGACTACAGAGAAGGACAGCGTCCTGCTGATGAATACCCTGTTATCGACATCCAAGGACCCACCTATTGCCAGCCGGTCTAAGAAAAGCAAGACCAAGAAGACTTCTATTAAAGCTGTTACTAAGACCACACCCACTCCCCCTCCGGTCCCATCTGCCAATGACATTGCTAGCAACAAGCCTAAAGTAACTCTGCAGGCTTTAAACCTACCAATGTTCACCCAGATCAGCCAGGCTTCAACTACTACTGAGGCAGCCAATATCCAGACTTCAGTTACTGCTCAGACCAAGAAAGCCAAGACAAAGAGAGTTACTCCCAAGTTATCACTAACTGGCACTGAGGGTGCCACTACACAGATCAAGTCACCCTTACAGGCCCTAAACCTACCAGTTAACTCACCAACTATCCAGTCTCCAGTTGCCAATGAATCAGCTAATTCCCTGGCCTTGATAGCAGTCAGTAAACCTAAGAAAGCTCCTAAGGCAAAGAAAGCTGCCAATAAGACCATACCTAGTGCCACAGAGATCTCACTGGCTTCGACTGCCATCCACACAGCCACTACCCAAGGCCAAACTGCTAAGGAGACAGCTAGTATCCAGGCCACAGCAGCCATTATGCGAACCAAGAAAACTTCCAAAGCTAAAAGGACAACTGCTAAGACCACAAATACTGACACTGAATATGTAGACTCCTCAAATGCCCTGGAGGGAGCTGGCAGACAGATCGAGGCCTCTACTGTAGGTCTAAGGCCCAAAAAGCCTAAGGGGAAGAAGGTTGCCAATAAAGGCCCAAATTCTGCTTCTGAGCTTTCTGAGGCTCGGCCTGCCATTCAAATGGTCACAAACCATGCCCTATCAGTCACCGTACGGATCAGGAGAGGGTCTAGGGCTCGAAAGGCTACCACTAAGACTCGGGCTCAAGAAAGCCAGGCTCAAATCACTGACCAAGGAGCTCAGGCTACCTCCCAGGCCAGCATAAGTGCCCTTGAGACTCAGGTTGCTGCTGCTGTCCAGGCCTTGGCAGATGATTATCTGGCTCAGTTGAGTTTAGAGCCCACAACCAGAACCCGGGGCAAGAGGAACCGGAAGGTGAGATCTGTGACATTATCCTTAACCTTTTGTTCTGTTATCTCTTTCCTATACTAGGTTGTTCATTTGTCTTATGTTTCCTGAGTCATTTAACTTCAAGAGTGACCCTGTGTTCATATAGGCTATAGGACGTGCTGTGAAGAATGTGATACACATTTGTGTCCACTAGTGGTTCACAGATTGGTAGGGAAACACATTTGTGTATTTAGTCAAGACCTATTTGTAACTCATTTCGAATTTACATAATATTTAACCATGTGCCAGATTTTGTGTTAAATACTCAGGTTGTATGTGGATTTCTTGAAAAGAACTCTTACTAACTGGGGACTATTAAGTCCCAGATTTACAGATAAGGCTTAGCAGAGTATGGTGGTGGCCAAAGAAAAGGGAACACCCCCAGGCCATGTCCTTGCTTGACTTGTGCACTTGGAGGTGAAATAAACTGTTGCTTAGGAACCAGTGATAGAAACGTCTGGGAGTCAAGGTAGCCTGTGTTAGGGCCACACCCCTCTGTAATGGAGAGTCTAGGCCCACTAAATCTACAGAACTTTGTGGAAGAAACAGCAATCTCTTTCATTTGGTAACTCCAGGCATTTTTTTCTTTCCATTGATAAAGTCTAAGCATCCCAATGGAGAAGAAAGAACTGGGAGTAATTACAGGCGGATCCCATGGGGCCGGAGGCCTCCACCACCCAGAGATGTGGCCATTTTGCAGGAAAGGGTAAGAATCCAATCTGCTCAGGTCCTATTTTTCTTCTTCCTCTTCATTCTCTGGCATTCTCCCAAGTGTTTTGCCACTGTATTGATTCCTCCCTAACTGTTCCTCTTTTAGGCAAATAAGTTGGTGAAATACCTTTTGGTTAAGGACCAAACAAAGATCCCCATCAAGCGCTCAGGTAGTCTTCTGGAGCTCTCTTCTTCACTACTCTTTCCACATGGCCTGTGGGCATTGGTTTACTCATCACCACCTCTCATACTGCCTCAGCTGCCACACTCATATTTCACCATAGCTACCCTGACCATAATCATGTTGCCTCTGTAAAGTTTAGTATTTCTGTCTCCCCTTTCTTGTAGACATGCTGAAGGATGTCATCCAAGAATACGATGAGTATTTCCCAGAGATCATTGAACGAGCAAGCTATGCTCTGGAGAAGGTGAAGGGGCAGACCTGGGGGATGGGGAAACCTTAATTAGAAGAAAGGTATAGGATCACCCTCCTGGCGGGAAGCACAAAGACCTAATACATTCCCATCACTGTGCAGATGAGCACACAGTGGCATAGGGAGGGGCAGCCACTGATTACACAGCAAGTCAGTGGTGGAACCACAGCTAGTACTAAAGCTACACAGCTTAGTCCTAGCTTCTGTCTGCTGCTGGCTAGTCTCATGTATTGCTGATACTCACTAGTCACAAAGGTGCTGTGGATGACTGTCTTATGTTTGTTACATATTTAATGTGTGCTTGGTACTGAACTATATGTTTTATGCATTTTCTCTCTCACACAAAACCTTGCTTTTCTGCAGAATGCCCAACATACTAGTTGATACCTAAGATATATTTTTGCAATCTCTTGGCAGATGTTTCGAGTCAATCTGAAGGAAATTGATAAGCAAAGTAGCTTGTATATTCTTATCAGCACTCAGGAGTCCTCTGCAGGCATACTGGGAACGTAAGCTGGGGAAGTGCTAGGGTGGGAAGGGGCTTCTTGCTTCCTCTTAGAAGCGCAGGAAAGAGGGTCTAAACGCCTGTGTCCCAGCTCCCACACATGGCTGGATCCCTGTGAGCAGTAGTGGTGCCAGACTATATCTGACAGAAGGGTTTCAGAGCCCGGAGCAGGCATTCCTGCTGTCAGGTTTGCTTTCTCTAACAAGCTCCCCGAAAATTTGGCTGTTGTCACTTGTCTCTTTTACTGAGTACCTGGCCTGGCTGTGGAAGGGTGGCTTTTAAAGGAGGGAGGGATTTCTGGTGTGGACCATGATGCTTGAGAGCAGGAGTGTCATTAGGGTTCCATCTAGAACTTCTCAGGGCCCGGGGGACTATGGGAGAGAAAGAAAAGCCTCCCTCTGACTGAGTGTCCATGTGGTAGACAGGGATTCCTCCATGTCCTGCTAACCCTGGGTAGGGATAGTATGTGGTTTCCCATTATGCTGGAGACCTTGGCTCAAGAGCAAAAGCAGCTTGCCTTAGGTCATAGATAGTGGGACCACAGAGTAGGCCAAATTCTCTGTATCTGAGGAATCGAGGAGAGGCTGGTCTATTGAGCTCGTGAACATAAATGTTCTCTGCCTTAGGACCAAGGACACACCTAAGCTGGGTCTCCTCATGGTGATTCTGAGTGTCATTTTCATGAATGGCAACAAGGCCAGTGAGGGTGAGTGGCTGGGCATGCAGTTGAATAGGTTGCTGTTGTCTGAATTCCAGGTGCTCATTTTCTGTGCTTGTCTCCTTGCCTCTTCTTGCAGCTGTCATCTGGGAGGTGCTGCGCAAGTTGGGGCTGCGCCCTGGGTATGATTGGGCTCTCTCAGCGCTTGCTGTCCATGTTGTCTTTTGGCAAGAGAGGACGGTCCCAGGATTGCATCAACCTGGTGGTCTGGTGGAGCATGTGTGGGGCGGGGATGGGAGATTTCTTACCTGGATGAATGACAATGTTTCTGAACTCTGCTTCTTTTCTCCTTTATGTCTTCTGTTTGTTCTGAATTGTAAGGTGGACCTTCAGGCATCCCTGACAAAGAGCCATCTGGCCTCCACTGTTTTCTTCTAGTGGCCATATGCTCACTACTATCTTCACTTCATTGAGACTGCCTCATTAACTATAGAATCTGTTCCATGTTGGGAAATACCTCTGCCTTTATCTGGGTAGTTCTGGTCTGTATTCACTGATTATTTTTTTCTTTGCTAGGGTAAGACATTCACTTTTTGGAGAAGTGAGAAAACTCATCACAGATGAATTTGTGAAGCAGAAGTAAGTAGTGTTCAAGGCTTTGTGTAACTTTGAACTGCTCTGGGTGTGGTAATCTGGTTCAAAAAACACTTAATGACTTTTTTACACTGTTTATAGACAGATGAACTTCCTGTGACCTAGACCAAGTCCTATCTAAAATTCTTGTGGCCAAGTCCCATTGGAACCCTTGGATCCACTCAGAGCAGGGCTCCGAAAATGGCCAGTCTATTAACAGCACACCCAAAAGGAATCTGGGGTTAATCTTCATAGGGGACAAAACACATCTGTGTTCTGTGGCACAGTGTCCTATATATGTATCACCATGGCTTTGCATGGAAACATGTTTCCATGGGAATGAGTCTGAGTCTGAAGGGCATGGAAAATTTTTCTCCAGGTGTTAAGAGAAGTTGCTTCATCTGAGGCTTAGTGGTTAACCAATAGATTTGCCTGTTTAGAAGCAAGTTTCATTTTCTTTCTCCAAGGTATCTGGAATACAAGAGGGTCCCCAACAGCAGACCACCTGAATATGAATTCTTCTGGGGCCTGCGGTCTTACCATGAGACTAGCAAGATGAAAGTCCTGAAATTTGCATGCAAGGTAATGAACTTCCTGATCTTGGCACCTTACAGGAATGGGATGCTCCAGGCTGAGGCAGGCTGAGCGTAGTGATAGACAGGTATGGGGAAACATATGGTTTGTATATAAATACAAAAAGGCTCATTAATGTCCCAGATATAAACTGCAAGATTTATCTTTAATTGTCTATTTAAGTTTTAAATTTTATCAGTCAATTCAGGCTGCCCTTATAAAATATTGTTAATTACTGGATGGCTTAAGATACATAAATTGATATACTCATAGTTTTGGAGATAAAAACCCTAGATCACCATCTAATACAGTCAGTTTATGATGTAGGCTCTTTCTGACTTACAGATGCTAACTTTTCTGCATCTTCACATAGCATAGAACAAGCCTGAGTTCATTTTTATGTCTTTACTTTATAAGGACATTAATCCTATTTGATCAAGGCCTCACTCATTTCACTTAAGTTACACCCATAAAAGACCCTGTCTGCAACTACAGTCATGATTAGGAGTATTTTCAAGATAAAAATTCTGGGGAAATTGCACTCAGTCCAAAACATACTTAGTTTCTTATCATTTCCTGTATTACATATGGGGATATTTAGGCTCAGTGATATAAAGCAACTTGTCTAAGGACATAACTTGGATGCTTAAGTTATCAGAGCTCAAGTTTGATATCAAGATGGACTCATTAGGACTCTAGATTTTTATTTTCCAGTATGGGTGCTTCACATATAACTAGAAGGGCTATTTTTCTTATAATAATTATAATTTCCATTTTAGGTACAGAAGAAAGATCCTAAAGACTGGGCTGCTCAATATCGGGAGGCAGTAGAGATGGATGTTCAGGCTGCAGCTGTGGCTGTGGCTGAGGCTGAGGCCAGGGCTGAGGCAAGAGCCCAAATGGGGATTGGAGAGGAAGCTGTGGCTGGGCCCTGGAATTGGGATGACATGGATATTGACTGTTTAACAAGGGAAGAGTTGGGTGATGATGCTCAGGCCTGGAACAGATTTTCCTTCGAAACTGATTCCAGAGCCCAAGAAAATGCAGATTCCACCAACAATCTCAACTTCAGCCATGGACCTAGTACCAGAAATAGCTTCAGTGATGGCGCTAATATTAGCTTTGGTGGTATAACCAACCCCAGTGGTGGCTTTGGTGGCATACCCAACTCCACTGGTAGCTTTGGTGGCATACCCAACCCCAATGGTGGCTTTGGTGGCAGAAATGGCATTACCTTTGGTTGTGCACCCAACACCTCTGCCAACTTCAGCAGTGCAGCGAGCATTAGCTTTGGTGATGCATCCAACACTAGCACTAGTTTCAGCGGTGGAGCCAGCATTAGCTTCAGTGGCATACCCAGTACTAGTGCCACTTTCTGCAACACAGCGAGCATTAGCTTTGGCAGTTCATCCAGCACCAGCACTAGTTTCAGCAGCGGAGCCAGCATTAGCTTTGGGGGTGCACCCAACACTAGCACTAGTTTCAGCAGCACAGCCACCATTAGCTTTGGGGGTGCACCTAGCACTAACACTAGTTTCAGCAGCACAGCCAGCATTAGCTTTGGGGGTGCGCCCGGCATTAGCAGTAGTTTCAGTGGTGGATCCAGCATTAGCTTCGGTGGTTCTCCTACCACCAGTACCAGTTTCAGTGGTAGAGCCAGTATTAGTTTTGGTGGCGCACCTTGTACCAGTGCCTGTTTCAATGGCTTTAATGGTGCACTCAGCACAAGCACCAACTTTGGCAGTGCACCTACCACAAGCACTGTCTTCAGTGGCGCGCTTAGCACCACCACTGGCTTTGGAGGCACCCTTAGTACCAGTGTCTGCTTTGGGAGCTCTCCCTGCTCTGGGGCCGGCTTTGGAGGCACACTCAGTACTAGTATCTGCTTTGGTGCTTCTCCTAGCACCAATCCTGGTTTCGGTGGTACACTCAGCACCAGGGTTTCCTTTGGTGCTTCTTCTAGCACCAGCTCTGACTTTGGTGGCACACTAAGCACTAGTGTCAGCTTTGGTGGCCCTTCAGGCACCAGTGCAGGCTTTGGCGGTACACTCAACAGCAGTACCGGCTTTGGCGGCGCCATCAGCACCAGCGCTGGCTTTGGCAATGCACTCAATAGCAGTGCCGGCTTTGGCAGTGCCATAAGTACTGGCTTCGGTGGTGCGCTCGGTAGCAGTGCCAGCTTTGGTGGTGCCATAAACACCAGCACCGGCTTTGGCAGCACACTCAACAGCAGTGCCAGCTTTGGTGGTGCCATCAGCACCAGTGCCAGCTTTGGTAGCGTACTCAATGGCAGTTCTGGCTTCGGCAGTTCCATCAGCACCAGTGCCAGCTTTGATAATGCACTCAATAACAGTGCTGGCTTCGGCGGTGCCATCAGCACCAGTGCCAGCTTTGGTAATGCATTCAATAACAGTGCTGGCTTTGGCGGTGCCATCAGCACCAGTGCCAGCCTTGGTGGTGACAGTGCTGGCTTTGGCAGTGCCATCAGTACCAGTGCCAGCTTTGGCGGTGCAATCAGCACCAACCCCGACTTTGGTGGTGCATTCAGCACCAGTGTTGGCTTTGGGGCACTTAGCACCACTGACTTTGGTAGTACCCACAGCAGCAGCATTAGCTTTGGCAGTGCTCCTACTACCAGTGTCAGCTTTGGTAGTTCCCACAGCACTAACCTCTGTTTTGGTGGGGCACCCAGCACCAGTCTCTGTTTTGGCAGTGCATCTAACACCAACCTATGCTTTGGAGGCTCTTCCAGCACCAACTCCTGCTTTAGTGGTGCTACCAGTGCCAATTACAGTGAGGGGCACAGCACCAGTGCCATTTTCAGCTTTGGGAATGGATTGGGCACCAGTGCTGGCTTTGGCAGCAGCCTAGGGACCAGCTCTGGCTTTGGAGGAAGCTTAGGCCCCAGTGCCAGCTTCAATGGTGGCCTGGGCACCAGCAATGGCTTTGGTGGTGGCCTGGGCGCCAGCAATGGCTTTGGTGGTGGACTAGGCACCAGCACTGAATATGGTGGTGGACTAAGTCCTAATGCTGACTTTGGTGGGGGACTGGGTACCAGTGCTGGCTTCGGTGGTGGACTAAACACCAGCACTGATTTTGGCGGTAGACTGGGCACTAGCTCTGGCTTTGGTGATGGACTGGGCAGCAGCACTGCCTTTGGTGGTGGACTGGTCACTAATGATGGCTTTGCTGGTGACCTGAGTACCAATAATGGTTTTGGCGGCACACTTGGCACTGGTGCAGGCTTTGGTGTAAGCCTCAGCACTGGCGATGGCTTTGGCAGTGGGTCTAATGCCAGCTTCGACAGAGGACTGAATACCATCATTGGCTTTGGCAGTGATTCCAACACCAGCAGTGGCTTTACTGGTGAACCCAGCACCGGCTCCAGCTTCAGTAATGGACCCAGTTCTATTGTTGGCTTTAGTGGTGGACCAAGCACTGGTGCTGGCTTCTGCAGTGGACCAAGCACTGGTAGCTTTGGTGGTGGACCGAGCACAGGAGCTGGCTTCGGCGGACCGAGCACAGGAGCTGGCTTCGGCGGACCGAGCACAGGAGCTGGCTTCGGCGGACCGAGCACAGGAGCTGGCTTCGGCGGACCGAGCACAGGAGCTGGCTTCGGCGGACTGAGCACTGGAGGTGGCTTCGGAGGACCCAGCACTGCAGCCGGCTTTGGTGGTGGACTGAGCAGCAGTGCTGGCTTTGGTGGTGGACTGAACCCCAGTGCTGGATTCAGCGGTGGACAAAGCAGCAGTGCTGGCTTTGGTGGTGGACTGAACCCCAGTGCTGGATTCAGCGGTGGACCAAGCACCGGTACTGGCTTTGGTGGTGGAGGCACTAACCTCGGTGCCTGTGGCTTCTCTTACGGCTAATGCAGTTGCAGGTAACTATAATATTCCCATAGCCAGGATTCATTGGATTAGCTATGATAGTTGGGAGATAATTAGAAGAAACCCTAAGATAGGAGGGCCAAGTGAGAAGATGAAGACAAGAAAGGAAATATGAAGAAATAGGCTTGGTGCTAACATATGTTTTTGGGTACTTTGTTTTTCAGGTTTGTTACCCATGTTTACAGATAATGCTAACGCAGCAGTACTTCCCATGGAGCCAATGTGCAGCTTTGGAATCCGTCCACACAGCAGCCTAAGCAGCTACTACCCATTAGCTGAGTGAAACACTAAGAAAAATCTGCTGTTCCTGCTTTGTGTTTGCTTCCTGTGTTGTTGTCGTATTTTGGTATCAGAGTTACATTAAATTTGCCAAAGGAATCCGAGTTTATTCCATCTTTTAATATGGCTAGATGTGGTGTTTGGGGTTTGTAGAACTAGAATTCAACTTAGTTTCTTGGGGTCTATGGGGCTTCAGCTAAAAGATAGGTATTTCTCAGAGTCAGAGAGCTCTGGGAAAGTGTGGCAGGCCAAAGGATAATAGCTTGAGCAAAGATATGGAAGGGGACACCTAAAGTAGAATGCAAACAGAAAGAGCTATGGATAGTAATTTCACACTCATTTGGGGTAGTTGTATAAGAATAGAGGGATAAGATAAGGAACTAGGAGTTGACATGGGAGAAAGAGGACATTCTCTTGGGATAGGAAAGAAAAATAAGTTTGGACTGTAGGACCAAAGGCAATTGAGAGGCAGGGGATTGATATGGAAGAGTTAAGAATTGACTGAAGTATGAGACAGTGGAAAGGGACAGGGTGCCAGAACACATAATGCCCTTGACTTTGAACAGGGTTCATGGCTATCTGTAGAAGTGGATAAATAGATATTCCAAGTACTGATCTAGAACCCTAGTGCATCCCTGTTTAAAAAGGGTGTGGATGATTCAAGGCTTGGATTTTACTGGGTAGTTGTGCTGAAAGGACTAGGGAACAAAGGCAGCGAGGTAATGAGCCTGTTTATCACATGAACACTAGTGCCTGGTTCATAATGGTTAGTGTATAGATAGCGGCTGAAGAAGCAGGTCCAAGTTGGTTAGGGATAGAAGAATATTGAGAGACTGATGAACTAGGAGGCAGTGGGGGCTCAAAAGGAACATACAGATGAGCAAGGGAAGATACTGTTCATTTAGGAAATACTACATGAATCACTATGGTGTGGAGGCATACTGCTAAAATCTTAAGGATGATAAAATTTTACAGACTCCAATGAAGAGGAAGCTTCCAATCAATAAGTTAGCCCAGAGAGAGGATGCCACAAAGGGAAACAGATAATCACTGAAGTTGAGGGAGTCATATCCCTGGGAGGGAGGGTATTGATGACATTATTAACATAGGCAATGAAATTACTCAGGAAAGTAGCAAGAGTTGGAGGAGACTGAAGGCCAAGTACTGGATTCTTTGAGTAAAATGAATATATCCTGTCCCCATGTACCTTGACTACCAAAGAACAAAACCAATGGGAACTCACAAGGACCTATCTTTTCCATCTTTAAAGTGCTACCCCAGCAATCTTCAGTCTCAGACATCCTCACCAATTTTTTACCAACAGCACCAGAGTCGGGTTAGAATCAAGATCTTCAGAACAATGGGAGAAGCCTTATAGCCTCTCCCTGTCCTATAAGCAGGAAGACGTGTCTTTATTCATCAGAGAATAGTTATTTAAAAGAACTTATGGCTAGGAATTGAGACCTGTTTGGGAGCTGCTACGGACTTCTTCATTGGAGGTAGGGCACTCTCAGGCTAAAGCCAGAGTCTGCTTAGGGAGAAAAAGGGCAGCAGTTCCTACAGGAGGAAGGCAACGAGGATAGAGGCAATCTGATCACTTGGAAAGGGTTCAGTAATGGGCAGGGACAGTGTCCAGGGCTTCCTCAGGTTCACGGGTGATGTCCACATTCTAAGGAGAGAGCCCAGGGTTAGTAGGAAGTATAGGGTCCCAGTCTTTGCCCTGCCTCTTTCCTCACTGCCAGGCACCCCTCTTTCAGCAGGGCATGTGTCCTGGCCCTTTTCTTAGGCATTCCCCGGGGAATCAGCCTGAGGCCTGTTTAACAGGGATCAATACAGCCCTGAGTTTCTATGGGCCTGGAATACTAGTTGATTTGAAACACCTGGGATGTCTGGGGCTGGAGATAGCCTTTCCATGTGAGGGTACTTTCAGAGTGTACCTTGTAATAGCCAGCTTGGGCACAGAGCACCCCACCTACCTCAGGCTTGTCCCGGTGTGTGTTCACAGCCTCTACATTCAGGTAGATGGACTCCACTCTGCAGCCTCAGAAAAGAACAACTCATATGATCATAAATACTCAGGATAAGCCCAAGTTTTTCCTAAGGTATTATTTTCCCCTTTCCTATCATCACTGCCCACACCCCTGGTCCATACTCTCTAGATCAGCAGTTCTCAACTTATAGGTCCTGACCCTTTTGTGGGCTGCATACCAGATATTTACATTAGGCTACATAACAGTAGCAAAATTACAGTTATAAAGTAACAATGAAAATAATTATATGGTTGGGGGGGTCAACAAAACATGAAAAACTGTATTAAAGGGTGTCAGCATTAGGAAGATTGAGAACCACTGTCCAAGATTATATCTCCTCTGAAGGTGGGGGAAGTTCAGATGAGTTGTAGGATGTGTGGGAAAGATTCCACACCAAAAGCCCAGAAATCAACAGTCATCTTCCCAGGTCTGCATCTGTCTGTTTGCTCAGACTCAATTGCTCATTTGTACATGGGGAATGAAATGAGAGGAGATGATCTTTGTGATTTCCCCAACTCCTGTGAAGTGTAAGACAGTGATCTATGTATGATTGACAGAGTGCTGTGAGTACTCCAAGCCTTGCTAAGTGGAGGAGTCCTAGGCTATGGGTACTCAAACCCAAGCAAGGTTTATTAAGAAGACAATTATAGCAATACTATGTATGATCACTGGGAAGTTCTAGGGAACCTGAAGAAGGTCCTGGGGTTGATGGAGGAGATCCACTGTTCAATCTAGCCTCTTCAGCACCATTCCTGCAGACTATCCTGTCACAGGTTTCAGTTGGTTCTTTTATCCTGTTTACACCCTGGACTACATTTGATTCTATGCTTTCCCTGCTTATGAACTTTTCACAAATAGCTAATGCCTCCATTCTTCAATGTCTCCAGCCTATAGTTTTCCTTAGGTATCTGTTGGGGACACCTCTGCCTCAACACAAATAGAACAATGTTCTTTACTCAGCGCCTAGGCAGAGAAAGAAAGAGCCAGACTCTGGATTTGGATCTGACTGTCACCAGCTGTACCTTTACCAGGACAAACTGCCAGCCACCTAGGGAACCTCACCCAGGAGCCTTCTATAGCAAATGGTAGGCACTGGATACATACTCTGGTTTCTATGTATCTTTCCTTAGGTCAGAGTAGGGTACTTACCATAAGCCACAGGTGTGAGTTTGAGCACTGTGTGCAAAGGACACTTGAGATAGGGCAGCTCATCTGGAAAGGAGGAAGAAGCAACCGTGAGAAGATGCAGTATTGGGCAGAAGACCACATCCAGGCTGCTGGATGTTCCTACTTCTACCTTTGCTTCCTATTTGGGTCCCAGTACAGACTTATAGCTGGTAGTCTAGAGAGCTGCTAAGCAGAGTAAAAGAAACCAAGCTACCTGGAAACAGGAATGAGACAGCCTTGGGAAGGGGGACAGAATATGAGTCTCATAGGAGGACTAGGTACCCACCTAGGGGCTTCAACTCTTTACTCAGAATCAGCAGGAGATGAGAGCAAGCTTCCCTCCTGCCCTAGGCTAACTTTCCATAGACCTCTTATACCCCTATCCCCACAAGGGTCCACAATTCTGTCTCTGTCTCCCCCCACCCCCTCCCGTGTGTGTGTGTGTGTGTGTGTGTGTGTGTGTGTGATGTTACTACAACTTTTTTATAGAGAAGAACTGATTGATTCGCTGGTTTCCTGTTATTGGCAATTATACAGAAAGTGTCCCTGAACATTTAGGTACAATTTCCTTTCAAGACCAGTGTTTCTATTTTTCAGAAAGGCTTCAACAGGAAATGTGCCATGGCTAGATGGCAGTTTGGGGCCTCAAACTTAGGGTACTCTGAAGACAAAATGCCTACTCTGCTCTTGTAGTTTGTAGCTGCTGCCACAGATGGAATCACAGAGTACTGTGGATGCACATCTTTTTAGGTACCTTATCTTGATAGCTACCTCACCACTCTCCAGGCTGCACTACATATTATTATTTAGCTGGAAAAACATCACTTGTAATGACTTCTTGTACCTTAGGCTACTTGTAGGCTTTAAAGGCAAGCCACCATCCTCCAAACCTCTGGATATATCAAGATGGGGCATTTTCCTCAAAATTCATTCTGTTTCTCCTCACTGTTAATCATTGCAATTAAGTTTTGGGCCAATGACTTTTTTTTGTGAGATCACACTAAACCTTCACTGATGCTGTGGGTCCTGTCCACTGTCACTTTCCATATGAAGAAACAGGTTTGGAGACCAGAAGCAACTTTTCTACAATATCTGATTCAGCTATGCCACTCTCTGTCTCTGTCTCTCTCACTCTCTGTCTCTTTCTCTCTCTGTCTCTCTGTCTCTATCTCTGTCTGTCTCTCTCTGTCTCTGTCTCTGTCTGTCTGTCTCTCTGTCTGTCTGTCTGTCTCTCTGTCTCTGTCTCTGTCTCTCTCTCTCTCTCTCACCCTCCGTGTCCCCATTTTACAGAACAAGATTAGATTAGGTACAATCTGAAGGTGCCCTAGCCCTGCAGATCTGTGGGTATGCATTCTAACTCATATAATTTTTCTGGGCACTCTTTCATCACTCTAGTCAATAATAAAGGTAAAACTATCTGCTGAGCCCTGTAAAACCTCGCTCCCACATATTCCCATCATATCATCATATCACAGTATTCTTTGCCTGTCAAAGAAACTTATCTCTCAGTGTTTGTGAATACTCAATGAAATGGACAAATGCTGCCAAAGCCATGTGAATGACACCTCAAGTTACTCACTTATTGAGGAATAATTTATTATTGGATGCAGTCATGTCTAATCATGGGTGTATTTAGGAGTGTATTTTTATTGCATGCTTTCTTACATACCATGTCTTCTTCTGGAAGGGTTATTAAAACATACTATGTGTGCTATAGTGAAAGAAAAAAACCTTGCTCCCGGGGCCAAGTTGTGAGCAGCTAGAATGGTCTGTGTGTGAAAAATGATAAGAAATGGAGACATTAGGAAGTACAAGGCTTCTGTGTATATGTGAGAGGAGAGAGCCTCTGACAGGGCCTTATCTTATCCCATGAACTTGAACCTGTCATTTCATTGCTTCAAG